TTGTACAGGAAGTGAACTGGGACCTCTCCAAGTAGCAGTCCACACTCCATATTTTAAGTCTGTTCGGGGACTTGAACCAGCGACCCTACGGCTCCCAGTCCAAGCCCCCTACTGACTGAGCCTCTACTGACTGAGCTATTGCCACTCTGAGTTCCTATTTGTATTCATTGCAAAGATGGCATTAAACAGTATCTGAATAAAACACTGCATGTTGTTATGTGTCATAAACTAACATTTTGGGAATAAATGGCACTTGTTTTCAAGGATTGTTTTTATTAATTTTCATTTTTTATTTTCATTCTCATTGTAATCCTTATAAGCTCTATTTGTTCCCAGATAAAAAGCGTCTCTGGGATCCTCAGGGTGATGAGGGAGGGGTAAATGTTGCAGATTGAAGAAAGAATTCACCAGGAGAGTTTTCTCGACTAATATAATTAGTTTGGGGGGTTGGAGCTTAGACTTTCCGACTTTCAATTTTTAAGGAACACCCTAAGCCGTGTGACTACCCAACGCCACCCCACAAGACTTTGTGTGCAGAAGAGGCTTAGGAAACGGTCATGCAGCCTTTATCTCCCGGTGAGCTGCAGGACTCATCTGAAGAAGACACAAGCTTTGAGGGGGAGTCTGACACGGAATGCTCACTGGAGTCCTCCACTTCTGTGAGTGCCTCTGAACCTCCCTCTGAAAGTGGAGAGGACACTGAGGATCCTGCCCATCCTAACAGTGAGTGGACAGCGAAGAACGGGCAAGTCTGGTCTCCATCTCATGCTGAGATGCTGCGCTACATTCAGGCACCCACCGGCATGATGCCAGGGCCCACGAGATATGCCATATCAAGAATACACGATGTGGCATTCTCTGTTGACCTTTTCTTCACTCCTGACATGATCCAGCTGATTTAGCAAATGACAAACCTATATGGGAGGCGTTCAATGTCAAGATGGAGTGATGTGTATGCCCAAGAGATTTGAGCGTACATGGGACTTCTCATCCTGGCGGGTGTGTACCGATCCAAAGGGGAATCTACCCGAAGCCTGTGGGATGACCAGAGAGGGAGACCAGTCTTCAGGGCCACCCAGTCCCACAAACGATTTCAAATGACAAGCGCTAGGCTCCAATTTGATTACCGACTCACCGGTCATGCAAAATGCACTTTTTCATGTATTTTAAGACACGGACACACCAAGCCGATTTTGGCCATCGATGGATGTCAGGCCGACGATGAGCGTCCTGTCGCCTACTCAGATTGGTGTGTCCCGCACCGTCGTGTCTTTTCGGCCGTGCCGAGTCTGCCGACTCCTTTTTGGCCGAAAACCCGCCCATTCAACATGTCGAATCGGTAGGCAATTTGCCAAAGGCTGTGGGTCAAATAAATCACTCTGATTGGCTGTTCAGCTAGCGAATCAGTGCATGAGAATCGAAACGGAAGTGAGGGACCAAAACAAACTATTAAGAAGGCAAATATGAGATTTCATTTAACTCCAGCTCTCGACACAGGTTCGGGAAAGCCCCGTGAGCTTCTCGCTGTAGAGTGAAAATGGAACGCACACGCTATTTGTTGTTTGTTTTTATCACGCAGTCTGTTCTTCTTCTCTCGGTTATCACGCAGTCTGTCTTCCGGTTGTTGCCTTTTTTGAATGACGAATACACACTACCGCCGCCTGCTGGTAAGGAGAGTTATTGCCCTTCACGCATGTCGGCTGTCTTTGCGGTGTGTTCCAGTGCGACTGTTGGCCAAGACGCAGGAGACGCGAGGCGACACAACAGTCGGGTCCGTCTGTGTGAGTTATTAGTAATCAGGACACGATGTATAATTATAAAAGACAGCAGAGATTTTGTGAATCCTTTCATTATGCATATTAATAACACACAGAAACACTTTAATTTACATTACTCAGTGGTGGGAAGCAAATAAGTACCTTTACTCTGCTGCACTTAAATAAAAATGTTGAGGTACTTGTGATTTACTTGAGTATTTCCATGTTATGCTACTGTGTACTACTCCAATACAGTTCAGAGGTAAATTGTGTATTTTTACTCCACTACATGTATACTTTTAGTTACTTAACAGATCTGGATGAATGATGTGAAATATAATCAAGTCTTGAAGGTCTCCTATCATGCAAAATACACTTTGTGATGTATTTTATACATAAACACGTGTCCCCGGTGCGTCAGGGAACTCACGCAGCGTCAGAAAATAAAACCCTCTCTCTTTTCCTCCGTACCCAAATCTTTTAAAAACGGGTGTACAACGAGTGGATACAGATTTCCATCCGCTGTGACATCGGCGGACCCACAGAAATTTGCTATCAGAAACAATGCCTGACGTGTTTTGGACGTAATCTCGTCTTTGTTTACATGAACAAGCCTCGCTAACACTCAGAGCTAACCTATACTGGAGAGCACATGTGTTTAAAAAGCAGGAAATAAAAAAAGGAACTCACCTTGTGATAAACCCGCAAGAGAAAAAGCATTTGAGCTCCATGCTGTTTCAGAAATAATCTTTGATGTGGTTTAGAACAGGATGGCGTTTTATCACAGCAGAATTTAACTTTATCTCCGGTAGAATTCTGATCAGGCATTAGCTCCGCCTCCTCTTTTAATTTTTTTTAAAGCTAAGGACCCAAAATCAGCGTTTCTCTAACAGGGCTGCAAAAGAGGGGTTTGAGGGATGTCTAAAATGCATGATCTGTTTGTATTTTGAGCAAAACACATCATGTTTTTAACTTTTTATATATTTGTATCTGAGACCCATAATATATGCCTTAAAATAGCATGATAGTTGAACTTTAAATCAGACTTTAGTTCCACCTGGAGTAAATTCACAAGCTACCCTGCAGTATTCTGAGATTGTTGATTGTGAGATTGTATGTGCATTGCCCTCTGCAGGAGACACCATATTTAAATAACGATGCATTATCCAGGGAGTACTGACACTGCCGAGGCTGCAGGGGGAACCAAAAGCTAAGTATTGACTATAGCTGTCAGAGAGAAATTATGGTGTCAAACTCAAGGCCCGGGGGCCAGATCCGGCCGGTGACTTCAAGACCAGAATATAACATGTTTATTATACGGTTACATACCGATTTACGGAAGCACGTTGCCCATAAACTACATGTCCCACAATGCATCTCAAATATGCATTTTTTCCCTCAGAATTTGACTTTTTTCTTCAAAATGTCACTTTTAAAAAATATTTAGGCCATTTTTTCCAGAATTTGTCTTTTCAAATCATTTTGTGACATGCGCACTGAAGAGACTTGCAATTATTTGCCGTAGACTTCTGCTTTCATTCGTAGTTAATTATGAAGTTATTACCCTATCTGATAATAATCCAATGCAGAGGCAATCATGTAATAAAATACATTATTTTATATACATTAAATATTTATATATGTATTTTTATATAGTCTTAAAGTTACATCCAGCCCTTTGAGTGCAACCATAATGCCAATGTGGCCCGCGATGAAATTGAGTTTGACAGCCCTAAATTATGAGGACCAATCTGACCAATAAACTACAGCTGATGGTATCTGAACACAGCAGCTGGTTAGCTTAGCATACACACTGGAAACAGCTAGCATTCATCTTGTTTAAAGGTAACACAAATCAATAAGAATCAAATATTTGTATAAAACACAATGGATGATGAAAGTACAACAAGCAGTTATCGTACATTTAATGGAATCAACTTTTTAGTAAAGTGACATTTTTAATTCTCCCATGCATCTGTTTATGGACTCACGTTAAAATGACATCAGACTTCAATTTGATTTGCTTCGTTTTTATTTTTGTTTCTGCAGATTGAACACTGACAGTGAGCAGGTGTGTCATCAGATTTATATTCAACACTAACAGTAAATGTGAAGGAACAGCTGACATGTATCTAACACGTTAACCAGATCATTCGATTAGAGCTCCATTCAGACTGCGGTGGATTTTCAAGCCGTTGATTGTTTATTATTATCAATCACTTGTTTTTATTTTCATACTCCCGCTGCTAATTCAAAACAAATTCTTACCATGTATTGAATTGTATTAATGTGTGCTTCCCTCCTAATTCAACATGTTAGCTATACCTACTGTGTCTAGCTTTTTATCTGTTCCCTTTGTTACGTAACATTTCCCAGGGACGGACAAATTGAGGATTTCTGATTCAGATTATTTAAAACGGTCTCGCATTAAAAGTCTGCTAAATTCTCTTTAAGCAGTAACATGTTGAACACAAGGTATTCAAACCCTCACTCACTCAATTATAAATACTTTTTTAAAAAAAATCTAAAGTCACACTTGATGATATCAGTTTTTTATATGTGACCTGCTCCATCGAAATCAATCGCATTGACCCGAAGACACATTTTGAGTTGTATACACTGCTGGAAAGAGGAGATTCCTAGCTTTCTAATGATATCAGGATTGTTTTTGTACTCCAAATATTAATCGAAATATGTCACATTATATAATGACTGTCACAGTCATCGTTTTGAGAAAAAGGCGTTTTCTCTTCTCTGGAATCCATCGATCTGATTGGTTATTAGCAAATGATCAAAATACTACGGAGGGAAGATATTTCGGTTTGGATTACTGGTCTGGGGGAAGCTCGCGAGTGTGTGTGTGTGTGTGTATACGTGTGTGTGTTTGTGTAATTTTGCATTTGTGTGTATTGCATTTGTTTCCCGGGGAAAACCCTCACGAGAAACACCGGCTGTTGTTATGCCTGCTGTGACGTCAAGTTACTCCGTTCTCCGCTTGTAATTATGCCGAAGCTTCAAAGTTGTATTTATCATCTGAATTTGCCGAAACAAGTTTAATATTCTGAAAGCCAAGACTTAGTTTAATTGAAATCAGATAAAAACAAACTGTAACGGACCCTGCGGTGTTATCTATGATTACTCTACGCCTTACATTCATAATGTCAGCCGGAGGGAGGGGGGGCGGCGCTGCGGAAGAGCAGATTGCGAGTGAGAGCTGTCTTCGTCCCTTCACAAGCTTCAAACATGTATTTATCGTGTGATTTTGGAAATAAAAGTTTCATATTCTGAAAGCCAAGACTTTGTTTATTTAAAATCAAACAAAACACCGAACCCCGAAAAAATAGTTTTTTACGCAAATCCACGTTTATTTTGAAATGAGCCGTTGCGACTTCCGACTGATTTCGATAGAGCGGGTCACAGATGTGTGTTGAATTTCAATAAGTTATAAAAAGGGAGATTTTGTGTCATCATGGTTTAAGAATAAATGAAACTAAATGGGAGCACGGTGAGGCTCCTCCTGTCTGAATGGAGCTCTAACCCTCATGTTTTCTGGACCTACACACAGATATTGGATCTAAAGTCTACCCGGTGTAGGGAAACCTGAGGAGCGCGGCCTGCTGGGGGCCGAGCCGCAGCTCCTTCAGGTCCACGCTGCTGTCGCCGGGCAGAGCGCTGCTGTTGGTGCTCAGCACAACGACCGCCTGCGGAGGAAGAGCCACGTCGACCAGCTGCAGCACCGCAGACTCTGCTGCAGCGAAGTTAAAGGCTGCCACGTAACGCTCGCTCTGATCCCAAACACGCAGGAACGCCAGCGAGGAGGAGGAGGAGGAGGAGGAGGAGGAGGAGGAGGAGGAGGAGGAGGAGGAGGAGGAGGAGGAGGAGGAGGAGGAGGAGGAGGAGGAGGAGTTAGAGAGCAGCAGGAAGTCTCCGAACATCAGAGAGCGCTCCTTCACTCGCAGCTCGCTCAGAGTCTGGAAGAATCTGCGGAGCGACAGGCGCTCGACTCGCTCCTCCTGTAGAGAGAGGAAGAGGAAGTAAAGAAAAGATTATAATAGATGTCTGAAATAAGGTCTGTGGTTGGCACAAACTGAAGAGATTCATATTTTCTTATTCTATGACATTAAATACGTCAGTAAGCCGCCTTTAGCTCAGCGTGGTGACGTGAAGTCATGTGACCGTGCTATAGTTCCTTTATAGCCCAACATTAGCCTCCTTTAGCTTAGCGGTGGTGACGTGAAGTCATGTGACCGTGCTGTAGTTCCTTTATAGCCCAACATTAGCCGCCTTTAGCTTAGCGGTGGTGACTTGAAGTCATGTGACCGTGCTGTAGTTCCTTTATAGCCCAACATTAGCAACCTTTAGCTTAGCGGTGGTGACGTGAAGTCATGTGACCGTGCTGTAGTTCCTTTATAGCCCAACATTAGCCTCCTTTAGCTTAGCGGTGGTGACGTGAAGTCATGTGACCGTGCTATAGTTCCTTTATAGCCCAACATTAGCCGCCTTTAGCTTAGCGGTGGTGACGTGAAGTCATGTGACCGTGCTGTAGTTCCTTTATAGCCCAACATTAGCCGCCTTTAGCTTAGCGGTGGTGACTTGAAGTCATGTGACCGTGCTATAGTTCCTTTATAGCCCAACATTAGCCGCCTTTAGCTTAGCGGTGGTTACGTGAAGTCATGTGACCGTGCTATAGTTCCTTTATAGCCCAACATTAGCCTCCTTTAGCTTAGCGGTGGTGGCGTGAAGTCATGTGACCGTGCTGTAGTTCCTTTATGGCCCAACATTAGCCTCCTTTAGCTCAGTGGTGTGGACTGAAGTCATGTGACCGTGCTGTAGTTCCTTTATAGCCCAACATTAGCCTCCTTTAGCTTAGCGGTGGTGACTTGAAGTCATGTGACCGTGCTGTAGTTCCTTATAGCCCAACATTCAATTTTACTTCTGGAGATTGCATTAAAACTTCAAAAATCATAAAGTGGTTTTTGCCACAGAGATTATTTTTCTGCAATATTCCAAATTGGAATGCTTTTGTTTCTGGGAGCCTTTGCCACGATAGCTTCTGGATTGGTCTACAAAAACACGTCATCATGCATAACTCTCCTTCTGATATCTCAGGTACGTCTACTGGCTTCCCTTCACCTCTCAGTTCTCATGTGACCTTTAGTTATAACAAGAGGCGGTTTCTCCATCTTTAGTTTCTGTACCTGTAGAGTCCCGTTCAGCTCCTCTTCAGAGTCCCAAAGCATTCTGGGAAACTTGGTGTCCTTTAACACAGATAATAAAATGTCAAGATCAATTACAAATCATCAAGTTTAAATAGTTTTTGTGAAATATCTAGAAAGGTATTATATCTGACCATATTCTATAGATCCGAGCTGTTTCTCTCTTTTTTTGTTTAGTGGTTTGTTTGACTTGTTATGGCTTTATATAGTTTGAGAAAATTAAGAAAGGTCGATAAATATATTGTTTAAAAAAAATACACTACTGGTAATCACAACACACACACACACACACACACACACACACACACACACACACACACACACACACACACACACACACACACACACACACACACACACACACACACACACACACACACACACACACACACACACACACACACACACACACACACACACACACACACACACACACACACACACACACACACACACACACACACACACACACACACACACACACACACACACACACTTGTATACATATCTATACACTGTCTCAGGGACGCGTCCTCACTTCACACCTCAATGATGTAAACAAAGACATAAAAAGCGTCCTCACTTCGTCCATCAGGCCGATCTCGTCCCCGTAGTTAAAGACGGGGGTCCCGGGCAGGGTGAGCAGCAGCAGCTGGTGGAGCCTGAGCAGCGCCGCCCCCCCCACAGAGGCCAGGTGCCCCCCCGCCGGGCCCCCCAGGCTCCAGGCCAGCTGGCTCTGGCTGTGGGACGAGTAGAGGAGCTGGAGGGACTGAGAGGGGTCTGCAGCGGGGGGGCGGAGGACCCCCGAGAGGAGGAGGTCCACCCCGGAGGAGGAGAGGAGGGAGGAGACCTCTTCAGCCGAGGATTGCTCAGTGATGCCGATCAGGACCCTGCACACACATGAGGAATCATTTTATTATTATTTATTGTTTTATTCTTTATTTATTCCAAGACTCAAGGCTTTTATTGTCATTCGTACATTAGCAGTGTAGATCACAGGCTCCAACAGTGCAACACAATAACACAGATCAAATATTTAAATAGTGCAAGGAGTGTATACAGGGTATATGCAGGAATCCTGAAGTCACATGTAAGACCTTTTAAGACCTTTTTTAAGACCCTTTCCATACATTTTAAGACCTCATCGCCACTTGGAGTTTTAACCGGTTACCTTGGCGACACACTTTACCTCACATTGACTATATACAGTATTGATTGTCCTTCCTCCTTATCTTCCAACCATTTGGACGCAGACTTGCATTTCCCCATAACGATGTTTAACAACCGGCGTAAACGGACCTTCGCACGCTATCAAGCAGTGAGCGTGCGATGTCCTGTTCAGATGACGTCAAACCCAACGGGATGCCATCAATAAACTACACAGAATCACACTACACACCTACGCCATGATTACATTCAAGCAGACTGTAGAATACAACCTCTTTGGACCATTTATATACTTATTGAAAACAAGCTACAAAATGTAATACCTTGAAAATGCCCTTTAATACTTTTTAATAGCCTTCATTTTCGCTAAATTGATTTATTAACTTTTAGTACTTTTTAAGACCCCGCGGACACCCTGTTGCAAACAGATGAATGTTACGGATGATTTAAAAAAAATATGTGTATCTTTAATATTTTGTATGCATGCTTCTTAGTTAACATGAAGCTCTCTGGCTCTTTTCTGCTGTAACAAATGTAATTTCCCCTCTGTGGGACGAATAAAGGTATTCTGATTCTGAAACTCCCTCTGGAGGGAACACGGGGATTTTAGCCTCTGCAGACCATTTACATGCACTAAGATAAGAAGTACATTATTGATCGCAATTTGAGAAATGTTTGCGTTGCAGCAGCATAAAAAGACGTGGCATAGAGTGCCGCAGTGACGCGTCCTAAAACCCGGAAGTTAGTTAGCATTTTACCACTTCCGGTTCCTTCGACAAAAACCAATGCAACTTCTCGGATTTTGGAAAATAGCTGTAAATAAGGTCTGTGGTCGAAACACATTTAAGAGACAGATCACGTTTCGTTCAGCCGGATAATCTCCACATGTCTACCCTACTTTTATCATTTATAAAAGGAGGGTAGACATGTGGAAGGAACCGGAAGGAGTTTGCTTCCGGGTTTTAGGACGCGTCACTGTGGCACTCTACATTAGAGAAATTAAAAGACTACAAATAAACATTCCAAAATGTGAACATCTCAAATGGAAATAAAATAGCATTTAAAAAAAGTAGAAAATATACATGTTGAATTACAAATGTACAGTAAGAAGATATAAAGCAGGAAAAAAGACAAAGGTCTATAAGACACAGGTCGCTGCTGCAACAGGCTGTGGAGCACACTACAGGAGAGGGAAACCCCCAGAGAACAGAACAGGGTCTCTTTAAAGTTCCCTGACCTCTTGTCGGGACCCTCGTCCGTCCCGTTCTGGACGATGGCTCGGATGTCGGCCCACAGAGTCGGCACCACGGCAGCGACCCGCTCCACCCCCGACAGCTGCACCCCGTCCACACCTTCCTTCATCCAGAACACCAGAGCAGACTGAGGACAGAGAGAGCTGTGAGAGAGGAGGACTCACACTGCAACACGCAATGGAGGCAGTCTGATTCCTATCACGCAAAATGCACTTTTTGATGTCTTTTATACATCAACATGTGTCCCCGGTGTGTCATGGGAACTCACGCAGCGTCAGAAGATAAAACCCTCTCTCTTTTCCTCCGTACCCACATCTTTAAAAACGGGGAACAACGGAGCTGATCCGATTTGCTTCCGATATGACGTAATATCTGAAATGTGGACCCACGGCCCAATCAGAGACGTTGCTGTCAGAAACAATGCCTGGCGTGTTTTGGACGTAATACGGTCTTTGTTTACATTAGCATTGCTAACACTCAGAGCTAACCTGTACTGGAGAGAGTATGTGTAGAAAATCAGGAAATAAAAGTTGTGTCTTGAAAAACATAATAACAGCTGAGTAATACTTTTATTTATTTTATTTTGTCACTTTTGTGAAACATGAGAACATAAATAAAGTTATTCCTGGGGTCATTGTATTCACCTTGAGTCTCTCGGCCACGCTGGTCACACTGGTGTTGGAGAACCACGGTCCAGATGTTCCCTGATAGTTCGGAGTCAGATCCAGAACCACAGAGATGCCTGCAGAGACACAGCATGTTACCACTAAACTCAAACCTCTTGTTTATTTCTGCATGATGACGTTTAGTCGTTTTTTGTAGGCACATAGAACAACATGTGAAAATCGCCTCAGCTTGTGTTAACCACAGACCTTATTTTAAGCTAACACGTAAAAAAGCTTCAAGACGAGGTGTTGGGAAAATACTGAGTGTCCTCTTCCAACGAGAGTAACTTGATAACAAAGGTATCCCAACTGCAGCTGTGAACATGACAGGATGTATGATTACCTAGAAGAGCATCAGGACTGTTTGAGGCATATGATAGCTATGTGATTAACATGATGATTCAGCCTCTATGGAGAGAGACATATGACAAGCATGCTCATTTCTGACGTGGAGCTAATCTGAAGTAAACATTGAATACTGCTTTCTGTTCCTCCATCTTGTGACTGTGTAACTCCCTCTCTTGGATATCAGCATGTGAAGGACACTGTTCAGGAACTAGTTGATGCTCTGTATGTGAAGACTACTTCTATTCTGGAGAGGATCACAGATACATGGATCCTGAGGTTGAAGCTCAAGCCGGGGACGAGTGAGATGTTTCTAACCTGAGGGAACGAGGAGTGGTAACATCCTGACTCATTTCCTGGTTTTAGGACTCATTCCTGCACCCCTCTTTACAGTCCGACTCCTGATAGTTCTCACCCTTCTTGTGCGCGGCCTGCACGAGGCTCTTGAACTGCTCCAGGCTCCCGGCCTCAGAGGAAACCTCTTCGAACCTCAGACTCATGGCATCGTCAGCCGGAGCGACGTGGACCGGCCCGAGCACCAGCCCCCGGACCTTCAGCTGAGACAGACTGCCGATCTTCTGCTCCACGCCTGGGGGGGGGGGATAAGACAAAATGTCTTATTATCTTATATTAAAGGTGGGGTAGGTCAGTTTGAGAAACCGGCTCGAGATACACTTGTTGTTATATTCCATGGAATGCTCTTAACATCCCAATAGCAATGAATATCTTAAGTGTCTCCCAGAATGAACCTCTCGCTCCTCCTCACCCTTCAGGTCCCGGGTGTCGCTGAAGGCCTGGATGTCTCCCACCTGGTACAGCGGACCCTCGTTCCACCAGTTGATGGCGGGCAGGTCTCTGCAGCGCGGCGCCTGCAGCACGATGAGCACGGCTCCACCCAGCATGCCCAGCCAGCCCAGCCAGAAGACCACCAGCAGCGCCCAGCGGGTCCGCACCCAGCTGAGGAACCACAGGAGCATCAGAACCATCACACACACACGTGCACACACACACACACACACACGCACACACACACACACACACCATGTATATACATCACTTCAGGGGACATCACATTGACTTACATGCATTTCCTGGAGACTTATCCTAACCTTAACCATAACCAACACATGCCTAAGCCTTACCCTTAACCTAACCAAGTCTTCACCCTAAAATTAATGATTCCCCTCATGGGGACCTCCAATTTGTCCCCATAAGGGAGGCCAGTCCCCACACGTGACTGTGTAAACAGATTTAGGTCCCCACAAGTATAGTAATGCTAGGCCACACACACACACACCCTCCAATAACAGGTATTAAGTAAAGCCTCAAAATAAGACGAGATAAAGGATTCAGACTTTCACTTAGTTAATGCCGCCATATTAACCAATATATGAAGATATAAAATATACTGTATACATCAGTATTTGACGATATAAATGTTTGTATAGATGGTAGAGGTGTGTTTAAGGCTGCTTTATTGTCCAACTCTGCCTGTATGTAGGCCAACTGATTCATTGTGTGTGTGTGTGAGGGGCCTGCTCACCCCGGAGTGCCAGCCACCCTCATCAGCTCTTCTTTAGTCAGCCCGGTGAACTTCACCTCCTCCGTCTCCTCCTCGGGGATCTTCAGCTTCACGGAGCCGTTCTTCTCACCCGTGGCTCCCGGTTCTGCTCCCCCGGCAGAAGGTGCCTCCACGGCCCGGTGTCCCTCTCCTTCTCCCCAGGTCATCGGTAGCTTCTCCTGCTCCTCCTGGTCCAGATCCGCTTCACTCACATCGGCCTCCGTCGCATCAGCATCCGCGGCGACCGGAGCGCAATCCTCATCCTCCTCCTTCTCTTTCGGCTCAGCATCATCTTTGGTCTCCACCTCCTTCAGATCCACGTTCGTCTCCACCTCCTTCAGATCCACGTTCGTCTCCTCCGTGGTCATATCGGCGACTGTCCGTTAATTTACCGTTAATTAATCTAACGTAAAAACCCGGTGAATCCCAGTGCTGCACGTTGAGAGGTGGTCGTGATGTCTGTCTGCCTGTAACACTGCAGACAGGTGGTGCATTCATCGCTGTGGGAAATATGGGAACTCGTGTTGACCGCACAATTTAAAATATCAGTTTGAAGGCGAAAAACGCATTCATGTTTCCTGTGAAAACAGAGTCCTAGCTTTACCTTTCCGAGTAGATGTGTACACGATGCAACACACTTAAATAAATAAATGTAAGAAATAACCAGATTAAGTGAAGTTTGCGAGCAGAAACGTGAACCTCAACCTTTGAGTCTAAAGGAAACACTTATATCTACACCCGAGGACACTAAAGTCCATATTTGATCAGGTCTTGTTGTAGTTTTAAGAGATAAATAGATTGAAGGGAAAGTTTTGAACACAGTGACGGGCCGTGAGAGGCTCCACTCTGCAGCTGCAATACCACCAGCGGCCAGGGCGGCGCTGTGTCGCCTAAACCAAATCTTTGAAAAATCATATAAAATCATTAAAATATGATAAAATATGGCAATATAGAACGCTTCACGAATTTGCGTGTCATCCTTGCGCAGGGGCCATGCTAATCTTCTCTGTATCGTTCCAATTTTATTATATGTGCTACCGTAGTAACACAATAATAACCTGTATCTGAGGGGTGAATATAGGTCTCTGAGCATGAAGACCCTTGTCTTGAGGTAGCAGAACACATACAGCTGAAAAAGAGCAAAACACTGGCTTTAAATGGCTTTAAAAGGGCAGAAAACACAGCATACGGAGGTCTGAATGCTAATGCTGTGAGTCTGGTACCTTAAAAGACTCCTCGGGACCGGCTCTGACCCACGTTAGGTCCAGTCTGACCTGTTGAGGAACTGCTAGGGCACATGGGAACTTTATGCAGAGAGCTTTTATGTCACACAGCCAGATCTACTCACCCCTCCTCCTCCTCCATTCATTCCACAGAGGCAGGCGGGGGTGGGGGAGGCACACGGACACCCACATGTCTTCTGTTCTTCCACTCAGACGGTCACGGCAGCAACAACCTCCTCTGATCCACACAGACGGAGGATTTCAGCTCCAGGCGCCAGGCAGTGGACTCCTGGAGCTGCTGAGCTGCTGCTAGATCAAGCCTGAGCGGAAAAAGAGACACAGTTTGGGTGAATTTCACAACCAGAAACAAGCCTGAAAACAGAAGCTGTGTGTAAAGAAATCAAGCAGGAGTAGAAGAAGAAGGAACAATGTGGAGGATACAGCTGAAGCTTCATGTATTGGATCATGTTGTAGCACAGCTTCATTCTTTTAGAGGCCTTAGAAGGGAATAGGAAGAGGTCTTTGGTCTGCATGACAACATCTGCCTTGAATGGAGTACACTGAAACAACTACAAACAGGAAATATGTACACATTTACAGTTTAACTAACAATGTTCCTGAAAACATTCCCAAAACATGTTTGTACAATTGATCTGACTTTTATTTAAGTGAATAAACTCTCAAATGTTATAGTTTGGTTCCTGCTTTCTGCTACTTCCTGTTTACATTTTTAAAATGCCAGCGCAGTTTCACAAACTCACCACCAGGTGTCAGCCTGAGCCCAGTGTCTGGGCAGAAAGGAGCTGCTGTCTGTGCTGTGGTCTGAAGAACATGCAAGAAAAAACACAACATACTGTATAAAACAAAAGAAGCAACCTATAATATTCAACTGTAGTTCATGTGCATTATGCATTGTTTCAACAGTAATACATCCACAACACATGCAGTAATACTGTGTGGTCGGGAGTCGCCAAACCAAAGACCATTAATAAAATCTCACTTTTTACATTTGTTTCTCTTTTTTATAAAAAGTTCTCACCGCCACAAATATTAAAACAGTGTTTTCTTAATCCAGAGTGTAAACTGCATAATTCGGCATAGGATAAACACACCAATGAGCTTTATTTCATTATACTAAATTTAGAATTTCCCAATTTGGGATTAATAAAGTAGGCGATATATCTATCTATAAAGTATATATCTATCATGTAAAATACACAGCGTAGGGAGAACACGAATGCGAGCAAAACAGTGTGTATATTTATACAATATAGCCTACTATAGTGTAAACGCATATAAAAAATTCGAATTATACTGGGTTAAATTGTCTCTTTATTAGTAGTGATATAGCCGTAAACACTTGGAGGGCTCAAGCTAAGTCACCCCCAATCACAGCCCGGTAAATAAGAGTCAATAGTGTATAATTGTATTAGATATGCATGTTTATTTCTATATATATTTACTGTCAATCTGATATTTTAATGGTAACTGTTGTGTATGCTACTACAGCCATTGCAGCTGTTGCTGTGGCGACTTTGGTCTGTCCCGTAGTAACCAGGTAAATCTGGTTTGTATTTCGTTAGTTTCTTGGTTACCTGCGATTGTTTTTGTTCTAGTTGAAGGCCTCAGGTGTTTCTAATATATTCTCCCCTGACACTCATCACTGTCAGTCAGAACAAAGACTGACATCTTCACAAATAAGCTCTCCTCCGGGAAGATAAGGACGAAGCGAAGTTTCAAAATGGCGACAGGTCAACAGGTAAGGACTTAAACAAAAACAAGAAAAACGTGTATTTAAGTTTTCCGGAAGTTAGTTTGCAGTCTTTGCTCAGATTAACTAAAGCCGGAAGATGTATCCTCTGGGAAGCAGTGTTCTTTACTTAAGTATAAATACAAATACTTTGGTCTTAAAATACTCCACAAAGTATTTAAATCCTGATTTCAAAAATACGACTTAACTAAAAGTAAAAAAGTATCAGGATAAATTAAAGTACAATCTGACCCATTTCAGAATAACAAACTACAGAAGTATTATCAGCTAAATGTACAATATGTAAAAGTACTCGTTATGCAATTTTATTTTCACAATATTATATTATTATTGTTATTATTTCCCCCTGTTTTATACGTGGAATAGCTTTTAGTATTGTAATGTGTCAATGTGGACCAAATCTAAGTGATATACTGAGTAGAGAAGTAGTGCTTACAGTAAGTACAATTTTGAGGTACAACTTTACTTGAGTATTTCCATTGTACGCTACTTTCTACTTCTACCCCACTACAATTCAGAGCTAAATTGTGTACTTTTACTCCACTACGTGTATTTAATACCTTTAGTTACTTTACAGTTTGAGGAAACAACATCCGGTTTCGCTATGAGTGGTCGCATTTTCGAGAGCTCCCGCTTTGGCGGTTATTCCTCACGATTTTTTTACATATTTCATCCTCCTGACAATATGGATTATGGACTCCTACCTCAACTCATCAATGAGGCAACATCACTTAGAGAAGGAGAGTAATGAAAGCGGGGATAAAATGAACCACAATGACTTTTACCTTCTCGACGGCTGGAAAAGTAAACACCTCGCTTTTGGAAGTGCAAGCATTCATGCATTATTAACTGCAAACCCGACGCGAAAGTACTTACCCCCGTCAGGCAAACTAGACCGAAGAAGTATGATCGTCTTGGTCTTATTGTTAGCGGGAGACATCCATCTGAATCCGGGTCCGGTGCAGACAAGAAGCCAGTCCTGCAGGCTCGACGAGCTAGCATCTCAATTAGCATCAGAACTAGCATCTCTTCCGCTGCAACATCAACTACGCGACGACAACAGAGACCGTGGAGACAGCGGAGACCAAGGAATAAACGGAGACTTCGAGATTCCCCCGGGGACGCCTCGGCAGACAGACACGCATGAGGCAGTGACGAGAGGAAGAGAACCGAGATCCGAGGGAACAAATATCCGCCATGTTGTTAGCCACCCTGCTAGCATATCAACGGCTAAAGCTACAACGGAGCCTCCCCTCCCCCCACCACCACGACGACAAGCCGGTTGCTGTAACGGACAAAGACAAATATCTGCAAGCTGACGACATTGTGCATTTAAGCAACAAAAATGGACTACATATTTTCCATCTGAACACTAACAGCCTGAGACACAAACTGGCTGAACTCAGGCAGCTATTCATGAACGGTAAGGCAAGCATATTATGCTTTTCTGAGACCAAATTGGACAATTCCATTACAGATTCAGAGATTGAAATTGAAGATTATCTTGTAGTGAGAAGGGACAGGAACGTGAATGGAGGTGGTGTCTGCATGTACATACATAAAGACACCAATTTCAAAAACCGTACTGACCTGCATCATGAAAATATTGAATCTGTGTGGGTTGAAATTCTTTTTGACAATGCTAAATCTGTAATAGTCGGGACAATCTATAGACCACCGGAACAGAGTGACTTTTATGATACATTAGATGGGTGTTTGGCTGATGTGGGGGATGTAGAGACAATTATTATTGGAGACTGGAACACGGATATGCAACGTAAAGACACGTCCGTCTTCAAGTCCTTCAGTAGGATTTGTGATCTGCACGGCTTCAGCCAGCTAATCACCCAACCCCACCCGGGTATGTGAAACAACACAAACTACCATTGATCTCATTCTGACCTCTGACAAGTCCAGGATCTCCAGTAAAGGGGTTATAGCATGCGGGTTAAGTGATCATTATATGATATTCTGTACCCGCAAAAAGCTAAAACAAAGGGCCGGCTGTCACAAAACAGTCATATCTAGAGACCTCAAAAACTACTCTAGCGAGGCCTGTAACCTAGAACTGGAGAGCCTGGACTGGTCAGATGAGCTCAGTGGTACACAAGCTGAAGAAACATGGCTTGGTTTCAAAAACAAATTCTCTGCAATACTCAATGATTTGGCCCCCCTAAGAACAACCAGGGTAACAACTCGCGCTGAGCCGTGGATGCACTCCGGCATACTGACCGCCATGAAAACCAGAGACAAAAAATGCTCTGAGTTTCATAAAAGTCAGTCAATGCTTTCCAAAAGCACGAGCAGTGAACTCCAGGCCCACGTGACTGAACTCAAAATTGAAAGAAACAGACTAAGAAATGACGTAAGCTCCATGATCAAAACTGCCAAAAAGAATTTCATCAATGTCAAAACTGAGGAAAACAAAAATAAACCCCGTGAACTTTGGAAATTACTCAATAACCAGCTTGGCTGCAGTAAAAAACTCAAAACGAGATTTTCTAACTTAAACATAAAGACGGATAACAGGCTCATCACAGACAAACTGGATGTGGCCAAGTACTTGGACATTTTTTTCACAAACATAGCCACAACTCTTGTAAATAAATTACCCTCCCACTCAGGGCTTTTTGGAGTAGATCACATCATGACCTACTACAAAAACCTAGGGGTACGCAAAGATGATTTCAGTCTAGCAAGGGTAACAACAGCAGAGGTACTCATTAAACTGAGCGCCCTCCAACCTAACAAGGCCACTGGCCACGACAATATCCCCTCCAAATTCCTCAGAGACACAGCAACCGCCATCTCACCAGTCATAGCTCACATAATTAACCTCTCCATAAAACAGGGAAAAGTACCCAAAGACTTCAAAATTGCAAGAGTAACCCCCCTGCACAAAAAGGGCAGCAAATTGGACCCAGGCAACTACCGCCCTGTTTCTATACTTACCTCCATCTCGAAAGTCATGGAAAAAATAGTGTATGAACAGGTCGAAAAGTACCTCGCGGAAAAGAAACTAATCTATGAATTTCAATCTGGCTTTAGAACATCCCACTCCACTGACACATGCCTTCTTTATTTGAGCGACCACATCAAACAAGAGGTGGACGAGGGCAAGTACTGCGGCATGGTGATGCTGGACCTACAAAAGGCTTTCGACACTGTCAATCACCCCATTCTGATTGACAAGCTAAAAGCAATTGGTTTTGATAAACTATCGGTGAGCGGGATGCAATCCTACCTGGAGGGGAGGAGAACAGATGGTGGAGGTAAACGGTACTCTGTCCCCCCCCCTCCCAGTGAGCTGTGGTGTTCCACAAGGAAGCATATTAGGTCCGTTACTGTTCCTAATTTATGTAAATGACATGTCATCAGCATGTGACTGCAACTTGTTCCTGTTCGCGGACGACTCAGCCCTGCTGGTCTCTGACAGGAACAGGTTGCAGGTTGAAAAAACCCTCAGCTCCGAGCTCGGCAGAATCTGCACCTGGCTCGCCGATAATAAATTATCATTACACCTGGGTAAAACAGAGTCCATTCTCTTCGGTTCGAAACATAATCTCAGCAAATCCGACGACTTCTCAGTTGCAGTGGGCGACATTATTGTCACAAGTAAGAAGGAAATTACATACCTAGGATCTATTCTTGAGGCAAACCTCTCCTGTGACAAAATGGCATCCAATGTAATAAAAAAAGTCAATCAAAGAACTAGATTCCTATACCGGATCTCCTCTCTGGTAAACAAAAACACCCCTGAAAACTCTGGCAGGAGCACTCATTCAAGGGTACTATGACTATGCTTGCACGTCATGGTACCATAGCACCTCCAAGGCGCTACAAATAAAACTTCAAACATCGCAAAATAAACTGGTCAGACTACTGCTTGACCTTTCATCTAGAACCCACCTCACCTCTGCCCACTTTGACAACCTAGGATGGCTTAGAGTAGACGACAGAGTACAGCTACTTGCAATGGGACCTGATCTACAAGATCCACTACACCTCTATGGTACCCATGTACATGTCAAAATTCTTCCCAAAGGTCAAGGAATACCATGATCATAACACCAGAGGGAGCTCCACAAATCATGTGAAACCCAGATTTGGCACAAAAAAGGGGGAATACACGTTTCGCAATGATTGCCACATCAAGGTGGAACGCTCTTCCCACAACTGTAAAGGAAAGTAAAACTATACTTACCTTCAAAACCTCTCTTAAAGAGCACCTTCGGGGGAGAGCATTGCAAAACTGGCCCAGGTAATGGTACAAATCTCAACCTGTCGTTCAATGGACAGCTTCCCCCCCCCCCATCTATGTATATACTCGCATTTTAGACTCTGTTACTAACTGTATATCTGTAGACTTGGTATGTCTTAAATGTCCGGTTAGGATGTATTAGAACGAAATCTAAAATGAAAATTGTAAACAAGCAATCTATGTAAAAAACCACCTGTATGTAAATTGTAAATAAGCCATCTGTATGTCAAATATGTTTTATATGTCTTAAATGACATGATGAATTGGAAATGGGGGACCCTGATGTAAACAAGACGAAAGTCTTTCTCTGGTCTGCATCCCCTTAACAATTGTATGTTTTGAGCTGTACTGTACTGTACCCAATATACAAGCTGTTAATACACTTTTCAATCAATCAAAAAACAGATGTGGATGAATGATGTGAAATATAATCAAGTGTTAAATCAGACTTTAGTTCCACCTGGAGTAAATCCACCAGCTACCCTGCAGTATACAAAGTCATTCAGACTAGCTGCACCTTTACCAGCTTTGAGAACACTTTCATGATCAATCATTATAAAACACATCATATATATTATTCTGAAATGGACCAATCTGCACAACGACTACTTTTACTGTCGCTACTTTCACTATATTTTGATGCTGATACTTTTCTACTTTTACTTGAGGAACATTTTGAATGCAGGACTTTTACTGTAAACAGAGTATTCCTACACTCTGGTACTTCTACTTTTACTCAAGTATCAGATCTGAGTACTTCTACTTTTACTCAAGTACAGGATCTGAGTACTTCTACTTTTACTTAAGTACAGGATCTGAGTACTTCTACTTTTACTTAAGTACAGGATCTGAGTACTTCTACTTTTACTCAAGTACAGGATCGGAGTACTTCTACTTTTACTTAAGTACAGGATCTGAGTACTTCTACTTTTACTCAAGTACAAGATCTGAAACAATCATTATTACACCCTTATTTCCCTAGTAATCAGAACATGGTGATCATCTAAAGATCATACCATGTTCTGTCTCTGTGGATCTGGATCAGGTGTAATGGATTCCTGTCGTGGCTCCATCCAGCTGAAGAGGTCTCAGCGTCTCTTCCAGAAACTGATCACTGAAGCTGCCACTGGCCTCAGTTTCTCCCCGGACACACTGGAAGACCTAACACCAGGCAAAACCTCCTACAACCAGGCCGACTTCCAGCAGCTATTCAAGCCCAGTGGAGTCCTGAAACCGAGGAAACCGAAAGAGAGGAATCTGTGTCGACCGGCTCCGAGGCCTCCAGGGAGATTCACAGGTTTACTTCCTTTAGAGAAGTCTGAGGATCCGGCACTTCTTCAGCAGCAGACGGTATATATTGTGCAGGAGTCCCAGAGTAGAACCAGGCCGACAGCAGCTAAAAAGGACAAACCTGCTCACATGGCGACACATAGAAACCAGGACCAGAACTTCTTGAATCAGATGGTAAAATACCAAAAGAACCTGCAGAGGCTGAGTGGCTCAGAGAAGATGGCCACACACCCCAGCAGTAAGTATAGGCAACAGTGGAAATTAATGATGTGTTAATAACATAAGATAAATGGGCCTCATCCGTCAAGAGCTTTCAAAGTGTTTCCTTGAGAAAGGTTGTAATAAAAGGCTATGACAGATTACGTATGTCCATTACGTTGTTGTTCAAAAGGAGATACATTTTTTCCACAGAGAGCCTGAAAACAGACCTGAGTGTCCCAGAGGACCGCAACTCCACGGCTGTCAGCAGACCACCAACAGGTACAACACTGCAGACTGTGTGACTGTTTTCTGTCTGAAAACAACTCTCCATTAATGCAGCCTACCTTTTACTCAAATGTCCATGACAATACTGTGCACTCCAAATGGCAGTGCTCGTATCCAGGTGTTTTGGCTTCATTTAGTGCGAGGTAGTGGAAATGCTTCACCCACCTTTATTTACAGTCTATGTTTTTGTATACATCAAACAGTGCAATGTTAGAGCCAGGGCTACTGACTCACAACAACTTGCATCACTTTATAAATAGTTTGAAGTTAATATCAGGATATTTTTGTTAACTAGATTATTTGGTGAAGATTGTGTGGTTTATTGTCACAATTCGGTACAGAAAGATTCATGTGATGTTAATTTGCCTAACAAACTGTTTCAGCTGCTAATATATATTGTAATTGTGATGAATAAGTTGTCCTTCGCTGCATTTATCTCTCAGTACTGACTTGGTATAAGCATATTGGGCTTCCTTTAACCACCTGGTCTTGTGTCTCAGATGCTGCAGGTGCTGACGGCTGGCTGGCTGCACAGTGTTCAGCTCACGGTGGAGATCAACATCACAGAGTCATCCAGAGACTGATAGCACAACTCTGTGAGGCTGATCAGCAGGAGGATCAGCAGGATGATCCGGATCCACCCCTCGATGCCCAGCTGGTGGTTCCTCTGCTCAGCTTCCTCAGCAGCCAGACTGTCAGACACACAGAGTCCCATCAGTGTGTTTACCTGCTCTCAGAGAAACCAGGTTATAATCTGACACCACGTGCACAGTAGAGACCTACGTGTTGCTATTTGAAAACCTGTTACATGAAATCACAGCAGAGAACTCATGATTTCTTTGATCCAGCACAGACACCAGATGACATAAGAAATCCACTGTCTGTCCATCAGCATGTAAACACACTGATGTTTTGGTGTATCTCCAGGGGCGGTTCTAGGGGGGCCCTAACACTGACCTCTGACCCCCCTGTGGCCCCCCCTAACAATAAAACGTTTTTTTTTTATTGTGCCCCCCTCAGAAAATAACTGGCCCCCCCAGTGAAATTGGTCTAGAACCGCCACTGTGTATCTCTTAGCTGTCTGTCTGAATAGTAAAGCTTTGTGTGCAGCTGATGGTTTACAGTAATTACACACTTAGAACATATGTTATATTAAACAGTGTGTTTTGAGGACATGATTGGTTAAACAAGTTAAAAACAAAGAAACCGTGTTTATCTTCCACTGAGTCTTCTAACCCGTCCCCCGTTGTTTCTTCCAGACTCTTGTCCGCTCACTGTTGGCGGAGCAGCTGAACAGCTCTGAGTGGAGAACCAGACTGGTGTCCTGCAACACTCTCTGCTGCCTCAAAGGGCCCATTAATAAGGTCAGAAGATAATAAAGAAATCAGCTCGCGGCCTCCTCCCATGCTCACTCTGTCTCTGCTGTGTTACAGGACGTGGTGCACAAGCTGCTCCACCTGATGTTGAACGACCACAGCAACCCTGTCCGCCGCGCTGCCGCAGAGGCGCTGATGAAGCTGGGGAGGATTCATCAGGTTCACACTGAGCTAAGGTGCTGTGGTAAACGTTCATCAGCACTGCATGCCTACGTATAACAAGAGGCCGCGGACATGGAGACACAAATCAATCAGAAAAGAGAAACAAAACAACATTAAAGAGGCAGGATAATCTGAAGGAGACACAAAAGGACCACAAGGAGATGCAAAAACAAGCCGAGTTCAGAGGCAGAATTTCTTTATTGGTCCCGCAGTGGGGAAATGTACAGTGTTACAGCTAAAGTGGCATAGCAGATAAAAAAGGCATGAAAAAATTAGTAAGCTAACTTATTAAATAGAGAGAAGAAAACCCCATATTAGCAGCAGCAAGAGACATAAGTAACATATCACGGTGTTGAGACATTAATAATATAAATGTGTATGTATTGCACATTGATGATTTGTTGCAGAAGTGTCAGCACCTCTTCTCTGCTGCAGGTTGAAGCTGGAGGAGGGTCGGGGTCTCCGGGGCCGGATGGAGGCTCTGGAAGTGATCTGCCATCTGAAGATAAAGACAGAGACGCTGCTGGAGCCTGTGATTCGCTGCCTGAGTGATGAGTTCACTGCCCTCAGGAAACAAGCCTGTCTGACGGCTGCATCTATGCAGCTGAGGGAGGAGAGGGTAAGAGAGGAGGACGAGTATTTATTATATTAAGGCTCTCTGAGATAACCAATGGGAGCAGCTGAACACTAAGTGAGACTGCATAGGGGAGACCGGGGAGGGCGGGACCTTAAATGAGAACAGTTCATATTAACCTTAAAGGTCTCCTATTATACTGTCTTTCATCAATATATCACAGGTCTCAGATATATCCAGAGCCTGTCTCTGATTGGCTGAAACACCAAACAGATCATTGCAGCATTACCCATAATCCCCTCTGTTTCAGCCCTGTTTCCAAAGTGTTGATTCTCTGTCTGTTACTTTAGATGAAAATAAGGAGCCCCTCCCCACGCCCCTCTGAGAGAGATTTGGTTACAAAGAACTCAATGGTGCTCTAGGAGGAGATTCAGGTGATAATGGGGGGGGGGGGGTTACCTTGGTTGCTGATTGGCTAATGGTTACACAAGACAAAACATCGTTATGACATCATAAAGTGGCCAAAATCTGATCAGCTCATTTTCAGACAGGTTTTTATAGAAATGGATCAAAAAGAGAGAGAATCTTTGTTCCTGAAACTTTCAGAGTCTCTTTCCACAGAGGGGACACATGTTGATGTAGAAGAGACATGAAGAAGAGGGGACACATGTTGATGTAGAAGAGACATGAAGAAGAGGGGACACATGTTGATGAAGAAGAGACATGAGAAGAGGGGACACATGTTGATGTAGAAGAGACATGAAGAAGAGGGGACACATGTTGATGTAGAAGAGACATGAAGAAAGGGGACACATGTTGATGAGAAGAGACATGAAAAGGGGACACATGTTGATGTAGAAGAGACATGAAGAAGAGGGGACAATGTTGATGTAGAAGAGACAGAGAGAACATGTTGATGTAGAGGAGACATGAAGAAGAGGGGCACACATGTGATGTAGAAGAGACATGAAGAAGAGGGGACACATGTTGATGTAGAAGAGACATGAAGAAGAGGGGACACATGTTGATGTAGAAGAGACATAAGAAGAGGGGACACATGTTGATGTAGAAGAGACATGGAGAAGAGGGGACACATGTTGATGTAGAAGAGACATGGAGAAGAGGGGACACATGTTGATGTAGAAGAGACATGAAGAAGAGGGGACACATGTTGATGTAGAAGAGACATGAAGAAGAGGGGACACATGTTGATGTAGAAGAGACATGAAGAAGAGGGGACACATGTTGATGTAGAGAGAGACATGAGAAGAGGGGACACATGTTGATGTAGAAGAGACATGAAGAAGAGGGGACACATGTTGATGTAGAAGAGACATGAAGAAGAGGGACACATGTTGATAGAAGAGACATGAAGAAGAGGGGACACATGTTGATGTAGAAGAGACATGGAGAAAGGGGACACATGTTGATGTAGAAGAGACATGAAGAAAAGGGGACACATGTTGATGTAGAAGAGACATGGAGAAAAGGGGACACATGTTGATGTAGAAGAGACATGAAGAAGAGGGGACACATGTTGATGTAGAAGAGACATGAAGAAGAGGGGACACATGTTGGTAGAAGAGACATGAAGAAGAGGGGACACATGTTGATGTAGAAGAGACATGAAAAAGGGGACACATGTTGATGTAGAAGAGACATGAAGAAGAGGGGACACATGTTGATGTAGAAGAGACATGAAGAAGAGGGGACACATGTTGATGTAGAAGAGACATGAGAAGAGGGGACACATGTTGATGTAGAAGAGACATGAAGAAGAGGGGACACATGTTGATGTAGAAGAGACATGAAGAAGAGGGGACACATGTTGATGTAGAAGAGACATGAAGAAGAGGGGACACATGTTGATGTAGAAGAGACATGAAGAAGAGGGGACACATGTTGATGTAGAAGAGACATGGAGAAAGGGGACACATGTTGATGTAGAAGAGACATGAAGAAGAGGGGACACATGTTGATGTAGAAGAGACATGAAGAAGAGGGGACACATGTTGATGTAGAAGAGACATGAGAAGAGGGGACACATGTTGATGTAGAAGAGACATGAAGAAGAGGGGACACATGTTGATGTAGAAGAGACATGAAGAAGAGGGGACACATGTTGATGTAGAAGAGACATGAAGAAGAGGGGACACATGTTGATGTAGAAGAGACATGAAGAAGAGGGGACACATGTTGATGTAGAAGAGACGACACATGTTGATGTAGAAGAGACATGAAGAAGAGGGGACACATGTTGATGTAGAAGAGACATGAAGAAAAGGGGACACATGTTGATGTAGAAGAGATGAAGAAAAGGGGACACATGTTGATGTAGAAGAGACATGAAGAAGAGGGGACACATGTTGATGTAGAAGAGAGACATGAAGAAGAGGGGACACATGTTGATGTAGAAGAGACATGAAGAAGAGGGGACACATGTTGATGTAGAAGAGACATGAAGAAGAGAGGGGACACATGTTGATGTAGAAGAGACATGAAGAAGAGGGGACACATGTTGATGTAGAAGAGACATGAAGAAGAGGGGACACATGTTGATGTAGAAGAGACATGAAGAAGAGGGGACACATGTTGATGTAGAAGAGACATGAAGAAGAGGGGACACATGTTGATGTAGAAGAGACATGAAGAAGAGGGGACACATGTTGATGTAGAAGAGACATGAAGAAGAGGGGACACATGTTGATGGAGAAGAGACATGAAGAAGAGGGGACACACATGTTGATGTAGAAGAGACATGAAGAAGAGGGGACACATGTTGATGTAGAAGAGACATGAAGAAGAGGGGACACATGTTGATGTAGAAGAGACATGAAGAAGAGGGGACACATGTTGATGTAGAAGAGACATGGAGAAGAGGGACACATGTTGATGTAGAAGAGACATGAAGAAGAGGGGACACATGTTGATGTAGAGGAGACATGAAGAAGAGGGACACATGTTGATGTAGAAGAGACATGAAGAAGAGGGGACACATGTTGATGTAGAAGAGACATGAAGAAGAGGGGACACATGTTGATGTAGAAGAGACATGAAGAAGAGGGGACACATGTTGATGTAGAAGAGACATGAAGAAGAGGGGACACATGTTGATGTAGAAGAGACATGAAGAAAAGGGGACACATGTTGATGTAGAAGAGACATGAAGAAGAGGGGACACATGTTGATGTAGAAGAGACATGAAGAAGAGGGACACATGTTGATGTAGAAGGACATAGAAGAAGAGGGGACACATGTTGATGTAGAAGAGACATGAAGAAGAGGGGACACATGTTGATGTAGAAGAGACATGAAGAAAGGGGACACATGTTGATGTAGAAGAGACATGAGAAGAGGGGACACATGTTGATGTAGAAGAGACATGAAGAAAGGGGACACATGTTGATGTAGAAGAGACATGAAGAAGAGGGGACACATGTTGATGTAGAAGAGACATGAAGAAGAGGGGACACATGTTGATGTAGAAGAGACATGAAGAAGAGGGGACACATGTTGATGTAGAAGAGACTGAAGAAGAGGGGACGACCACATGTTGATGTAGAAGTAGACATGAAGAAGAGGGGACACATGTTGATGTAGAAGAGACATGAAGAAGAGGGGACACATGTTGATGTAGAAGAGACATGAAGAAGAGGGGACACCATGTTGATTGTAGAAGAGACATGAAGAAGAGGGGGACACATGTTGATGTAGAAAGACATGGAAAGAAGAGGGGGACACATGTTGATGTAGAAGAGACATGAAGAAGAGGGGACACATGTTGATGTAGAAGAGACATGGATGAAGAGGGGGACACATGTTGATGTAGAAGAGACATGGAGAAGAGGGGAACACATGTTGATGTAGAAGAGACATGAGAAGAGGGGGACACATGTTGATGTAGAAGAGACATGAAAGAAGTAGGGGACACATGTTGATGTAGAAGAGACATGAAGAAGACAGGTGACCTTTAAGGCTATCTGAGACAACCAATGGGAGGAGCTGAACACTAAGTGAGACAGGAAAGAACGTGGAGGGCGGGGACCTTAATGAGACAGGTGGAAACTAACAGTCTATATTGACCTTAAATATAAAGTCTGCCCAGATGATAACTCAAGCTTCCTCTTTTTTATACAGGCCAGGTTAAACTGTTCAATGACAACATACGCTGCTGCTAAATGAGAAATACCAGAAGTTTAAGACTGCAGTTCAAACTACCAAACAGATTACAGTAGCCTCAGATAACAGCCACAAAAGCATGCAGACATGACTACAGGCCGATGTTATGAAATCATGAAATACTTAATGACTTGATAAAGCTTGTTATCTTGACAAAGTGGCTAGTGAGACACACAAATGTAACAACAGAAATAATTGTGTATTAATAACCTGTGAGCATTTAGTCAGCGACCTGCATCTCTGCAGCTGAGGAGGAGATGGTAAGAGAGGAGGAGGAGTAGTATTTAGTATAATATCTGCAGGGTGTGATATCAGCCGGAGTGTGGTGTGGAGAATTGAAAAACAAAATTGAAATATGTTTTGCTTTATAGTGGTGAGTTGTCTGGCTGCAGCTGGTGGAACACGACACAGCTCCAGATGTTCGACTGTCAGCCATCAGAGGTAAAACATGTTTCCAAATGCCAAAGAGACAGGAGGAATTACAGTACTTTTTAACTGAGAAGGTGTCAATGATCTAAGAAGCTGACTCTTATAAACACAAGCAGAGATGGCAAATTACACACATCCTTTACTCAAGTAGAAGTACAGATACTCGTGTTTAAACATACTCTGGTAAAAGTAGAATTATTGACTAAACTTCTTTACTCAAGTAAAAGTAAAGAAGTATGGGGCTTCGAAATGTACTTCAGGTAGGGTAGGTAAGAACGGAGAAACCAGCTCGAGTGCGCTAGAATTTGAAAATACACACCCGGAAACAATCTGCCCCTTCCTTCAGACTTCCTCACAGAGCCCCTCCTCCAACACACGAACGCACACATGACCAATGAGGGCACGAGATAAGTTTGTGCACAGATGGAAGGCTGACAGGCAGGTAGGCCATCCAGTTACTTTAGCCGGGCCGAGGCAGATGATTGGTCGTGCTTTTTACAGCGCCACGGCTTCCACTGATGATATTTTTTTATGACATAAAGTGTTTCTGAAGTGAATTACCTACCCCCAACTTTAAGTAAAAAGTACCCATAACTAGCAGCTGCTTTAAAGAGTACCTGACCTCCCTTTATATTAATGGAACAATAATATCATTGTTAGCTAATGAATGTTTCCATGCTGAACAACGGCAACATGACAACGTTTCCATTGGTCCCTCTTCTTTAGAGAAGACCAGGAAATGATGGATACACGGATCGTGTTCAAATCAATAGGCACGCAATGACTCTAAAGAATAATGATCACGCATCAAACACACATTCAGACTAAAGGAACCAGCTGTTTGGAAAAATGAGAGAAGTAGAAAGTACAAGTATTTGAGTTCAACATGTAAGAAGTAGAAAGTACAGGTATTTGAGTTCAACATGTAAGAGTAGAAAGTACAGGTATTTGAGTTCAACATGTAAGAAGTAGAAAGTACAGGTATTTGTGTTCAACTGTAAGAAGTAGAAAGTACAGTATTTGTGTTCACATGTAAGAAGTAGAAAGTACAAGGTAATTTGTGTTCAACATGTAAGAAGTAGAAAGTACAGGTATTTGTGTTCAACACGTAAGAAGTAGAAGTACAGTACAGGTATTTGTGTTCAACACGTAAGAAGTAGAAAGTACAGGTTTTGAGTTCAACATGTAAGAAGTAGAAAGTACAAGGTATTTGTTCAACATGTAAGAAGTAGAAAGTACAGGTATTTGTGTTCAACATGTAGAAGTAGAAAGTACAGTATTTGTGTTCAACATGTGAGAAGTAGAAAGTACAGGTATTTGGGTTCAACATGTAAGAAGTAGAAAGTACAGGTATTTGAGTTCAACATGTAAGAAGTAGAAAGTACAGGTATTTGAGTTCAACATGTAAGAAGTAGAAAGTACAGGTATTTGAGTTCAACATGTAGAAAGTAACAGTATTTGAGTTCAACATGTGAGAAGTAGAAAGTACAGGTATTTGGGTTCAACATGTAAGAAGTAGAAAGTACAGTATTTGAGTTCAACATGTAAGAAGTAGAAAGTACAGGTATTTGAGTTCAACATGTAAGAAGTAGAAAGTACAGGTATTTGTGTTCAACATGTAAGAAGTAGAAAGTACAGGTATTTGTGTTCAACATGTAAGAAGTAGAAAGTACAGGTATTTGGGTTCAACATGTAAGAAGTAGAAAGTACAGTATTTGAGTTCAACATGTGAAGTAGAAAGTACAGGTATTTGAGTTCAACATGTAAGAAGTAGAAAGTACAGGTATTTGTGTCAACATGTAAGAAGTAGAAAGTACAGGTATTTGTGTTCAACATGTAAGAAGTAGAAAGTACAGGTATTTGGTTCAACATGTAAGAAGTAGAAAGTACAGGTATTTGTGTTCAACATGTAAGAAGTAGAAAGTACAGGTATTTGAGTTCAACATGTAAGAATGTAGAAAGTACAGGTATTTGTTTCAACATGTAAGAGTAGAAGTACAGGTATTTGTGTTCAACATGTAAGAAGTAGAAAGTATAGGTATTTGAGTTCAACATGTAAGAAGTAGAAGTACAGGTATTTGTGTTCAACATGTAAGAAGTAGAAAGTACAGGTATTTGAGTTCAACATGTAAGAAAGTAGAAAGTACAGGTATTTGAGTTCAACATGTAAGAAGTAGAAAGTACAGGTATTGTGTTCAACATGTAAGATGTAGAAAGTACAGGTATTTGAGTTCAACATGTAAGAAGTAGAAAGTACAGGTATTTGAGTTCAACATGTAAGAAGTAGAAAGTACAGGTATTTGAGTTCAACATGTAAGAAGTAGTAAAGTACAGGTATTTGGGTTCAACATGTAAGAAGTAGAAAGTACAAGTATTTGAGTTCAACATGAGAAGTAGTAGAAAGTACAGGTATTTGAGTTCAACATGTAAGAAGTAGAAAGTACAGGTATTTGGGTTCAACGTGTAAGAAGTAGAAGTACAGGTGTATTTGAGTTTCAACATGTAAGAAGTAGAAAGTACAGGTATTTGAGTTCAACATGTAAGAAGTAGAAAGTACAGGTATTTGTGTTCAACATGTAAGAAGTAGAAAGTACAGTATTTGTGTTCACACGTAAGAAGTAGAAAGTACAGGTATTTGTGTTCAACATGTAAGAAGTAGAAAGTACAGGTATTTGTGTTCAACACGTAAGAAGTAGAAAGTACAGGTATTTGTGTTCAACACGTAAGAAGTAGAAAGTACAGGTATTTGAGTTCAACATGTAAGAAGTAGAAAGTACAGGTATTTGAGTTCAACATGTAAGAAGTAGAAGTACAGGTATTTGAGTTCAACATGTAGAAAGTACAAGTATTTGAGTTCAACATGTGAGAAGTAGAAAGTACAGGTATTTGGGTTCAACATGTAAGAAGTAGAAAGTCAACATGTAAGAAGTAGAAAGTACAGGTATTTGAGTTCAACATGTAAGAAGTAGAAAGTACAGGTATTTGAGTTCAACATGTAAGAAGTAGAAAGTACAGGTATTTGAGTTCAACATGTAAGAAGTAGAAAGTACAGGTATTTGGGTTCAACTGTAAGAAGTAGAAAGTACAAGTATTTGAGTTCAACATGTGAGAAGTAGAAAGTAACAGGTATTGAGTTCAACATGTAAGAAGTAGAAAGTACAGGTATTTGAGTTTCAAACATGTAAGAAGTAGAAAGTACAGGTATTTGTGTTCAACATGTAAGCGGTAGAAAGTACAGGTATTTGTGTTCAACATGTAAGAAGTAGAAAGTACAGGTATTTGGGTTCAACATGTAAGAGTAGAAAGTACAGGTATTTGTGTTCACACATGTAAGAAGTAGAAAGTACAAGGATATGTGAGTTCAACATGTGAGAAGTAGAAAGTACAGGTATTTGAGTTCAACATGTGAGAAGTAGAAAGTACAGGTATTTGTGTTCAACATGTAAGAAGTAGAAAGTATATGTATTTGAGTTCAACATGTAAGAAGTAGAAAGTACAGGTATTTGTGTTCAACATGTAAGAAGTAGAAAGTACAGGTATTTGAGTTCAACATGTAAGAAGTAGAAAGTACAGGTATTTGAGTTCAACATGTAAGAAGTAGAAAGTACAGGTATTTGTGTTCAACATGTAAGAAGTAGAAAGTACAGGTATTTGTGTTCAACATGTAAGAAGTAGAAAGTACAGGTATTTGGGTTCAACATGTAAAAGTAAGTAGAAAGTACAAATTGTTTCAACAGTAAGAAGTAGAAAGTACAGGTATTTGAGTTCAACATGTGAGATGTAGAAAGTACAGGTATTTGAGTTCAACATGTAGAAGTAGAAAGTACAGGTATTTGTGTTCAACATGTAAGAAGTAGAAAGTATATGTATGTAATGTAAGTTCAACATGTAAGAAGTAGAAAGTACAGGTATTTGTGTTCAACATGTAAGAAGTAGAAAGTACAGGTATTTGAGTTCAACATGTAAGAAGTAGAAAGTACAGGTATTTGAGTTCAACATGTAAGAAGTAGAAAGTACAGGTATTTGAGTTCAACATGTAAGAAGTAGAAAGTACAGGTATTTGAGTTCAACATGTAAGAAGTAGAAAGTACAGGTATTTGGGTTCAACATGTAAGAAGTAGAAAGTACAAGTATTTGAGTTCAACATGTGAGAAGTAGAAAGTACAGGTATTTGAGTTCAACATGTAAGAAGTAGAAAGTACAGGTATTTGTGTTCAACATGTAAGAAGTAGAAAGTACAAGGTATTTGTGTTCACATGTAAGAAGTAGAAAGTACAGGTATTTGGGTTCAACATGTAAGAAGTAGAAAGTACAGGTATTTGTGTTCAACATGTAGAAGTAGAAAGTACAGGTATTTGAGTTCAACATGTAAGAAGTAGAAAGTACAGGTATTTGAGTTCAACATGTGAGATGTAGAAAGTACAGGTATTTGAGTTCAACATGTAAGAAGTAGAAAGTACAGGTATTTGGGTTTTCAACATGTTAAGAAGTAGAAAGTACAGGTATTTTGAGTTCAACATGTAAGAAGTAGAAAGTACAGGTATTTGAGTTCAACATGTAAGAAGTAGAAAGTACAGGTATTTGAGTTCAACATGTAAGAAGTTAGAAAGTACAGGTATTTGAGTTCCCAACATGTAAGAAGTAGAAAGTACAGGTATTTGGGTTCAACATGTAGAAGTAGAAAGTACAGGTATTTGGGTTCAACATGTAAGAAGTAGAAAGTACGGATTTGGGTTCAACATGTAGAAGTAGAAAGTACAGGTTATTTGTGTTCAACATGTAAGAAGTAGAAAGTACAGGTAATTTGAGTTCAACATGTGAGAAGTAGAAAGTTCAGGTATTTGGGTTCAACATGTAAGAAGTAGAAAGTACAGGTATTTGGGTTCAACATGTAAGTAGAAAGTACAGGTATTTGTGTTCACTGTAAGAAAGTAGAAAGTACAGGTTATTTGAGTTCAACATGTAAGAAGTAGAAAGTTCAGGTATTTGTGTTCAACATGTAAGAAGTAGAAAGTACAGGTATTTGTGTTCAACATGTAAGAAGTAGCAAAGTACAGGTATTTGAGTTCAACATGTGAGAAGTAGAAAGTACAGGTATTTGTGTTCAACATGTAAGAAGTAGAAAGTACAGGTCTTTGTGTTCAAAATGTAAGAAGTTCAAAGTAAAAAGTCGTCTGAAAAATAAGTAGTGAGGTAAAGTACTGATACCAGAAAAATTTACTTAAGTACAGTAACGAAGTATATGTACTCCCACTACTTCCCACCTCTGTACCACAGGTTGGTTTACAGGACACTAACATGAGCAAAAGTAACACAGTGAACTAATAACCTTGTGTTGTTGTTGTTGCAGCGTTGGGTGTCGTTGGTTTATCCTCCCCAGACGTGCAGGAGGCTCTGATGCACTGCGTGGAGACTGAGAGGGAGGCCGAGCTGCGGGTGGAGGCCTGCAGGATGCTGCAGAGCTCTGGGGTTTCTTCAGACCAGCTGCAGGGCTTCCTGCTGCAGCGTGTCGACTTAGAGTGCAATCCACTGGTTCAGAGGTAAAGGAGCTGTGATTAGAGGACATACAGTGGGGCAAAAAAATATTTAGTCACCAATTGTGCAAGTTCTCCCACTTAAAAAGATGAGAGGCTTGTAATTTTCATCCTTGGTACACTTCAACTATGAGAGACAGAATGAGAAAAAAAAAAATGCAGAAAATCACATTGTCTGATTTTTAAAGAATTTATTTGCAAATGATGGTGGAAAATAAGTATTTGGTCAATAACAAAAGTTCATCTCAATACTTTGTTATATACCCTTTGTTGGCAATGACAGAGGTCAAACGTTTTCTGTAAGTCTTCACAAGGTGTTCACACACTGTTGCTGGTATTTTGGCCCATTCCTCCATGCAGATCTCCTCTGGTGATGTTTTGGGGCTGGTCGCTGGGCAACACGGACTTTCAACTCCCTCCAAAGATTTTCTATGGGGTTGAGATCTGGAGACTGGCTAGGCCACTCCAGGACCTTGAAATGCTTCTTACGAAGCCACTCCTTCGTTACCCCGGGCGGTGTGTTTGGGATCATTGTCATGCTGAAAGACCCAGCCACGTTTCATCTTCAATGCCCTTGCTGATGGAAGGAGGTTGTCACTCAAAATCTCACGATACATGGCCCCCATTCATTCTTTCCTTTACACGGATCAGTGGTCCTGGTCCCTTTGCAGAAACACAGCCCCAAAGCATGATGTTTCCACCCCCCATGTTTCACAGTAGGTGTTCTTTGGATGCAACTCAGCATTCTTTCTCCTCCAAACACGTCTAGTTGAGTTTTTACCAAAAAGTTCTATTTTGGTTTCATCTGACCATATGACATTCTCCCAATCCTCTTCTGGATCATCTAAATGCTCTCTAGCAAACTTCAGACGGGCCTGGACATGTACTGGCTTAAGCAGGGGGACACGTCTGGCACTGCAGGATCTGAGTCCCTGGCGGCGTAGTGTGTTACTGATGTAGCCTTTGTTACTTTGGTCCCAGCTCTCTGCAGGTCATTGACTCGGTCCCCCCGTGTGGTTCTGGGATTTTGCTCACCGTTCTTGTGATCATTTTGACCCCACGGGGTGAGATCTTGCGTGGAGCCCCAGATCGAGGGAGATTACCAGTGGTCTTGTATGTCTTCCATTTTCTAATAATTGCTTCCCACAGTTGATTTCTTCACACCAAGCTGCTTACCTATTGCAGATTCAGTCTTCCCAGCCTGGTGCAGGTCTACCATTTTGTTTCTGGTGTCCTTTGACAGCTCTTTGGTCTTGGCCAAAGTGGAGTTTGGAGTGTGACTGTTTGAGGTTGTGGACAGGTGTCTTTTATACTGATAACGAGTTCAAACGGGTGCCATTAATACAGTTAACGAGTGGAGGACAGAGGAGGCTCTTAAAGAAGAAGTTACAGGTCTGTGAGAGCCAGAAATCTTGTTTGTTTGTAGGTGACCAAATACTTATTTTACCGAGGAATTTACCAATTAATTCATTAAAAATCCTACAATGTGATTTCCTGGATTCTTTCCCCCCATTCTGTCTCTCATAGTTGAAGTGTACCTAGGATGAAGAATTACAGGCCTCTCTCATCTTTTAAGTGGGAGAACTTGCACAATTGGTGGCTGACTAAATACTTTTTTTGCCCCACTGTACATGTGATCATATTTGAAGATAATATACTGAGGAGCTGTGTTCATGCAGGACAATGAAGGAAGTGCTGCAGCTCTGTGACGGCAGCCGGCAGGAGTACGAACATTCACAATACATCAGCCTGCAGGTAGACATCTTTGTATTTAAGATAAGTACTTTATTGATCCCAATGTGGAAATGTTTGTGTTGCAGCAGCATAAAAAGACAAGGCATTGTACAATACAAATTAAAAGACTAGAAATAAACAAGAAAGTAGAAAATATACATGTTGAATTTACAAATTAACAATAACAAGATATAAAGCAAGTTATTATATATACATAAGTATGTGAGAGATGGAATATTAAATATTTATATATGAATATAAAATGTACAGTGTGATCTTAAGTCCAAGAGAAACTATGGAGCAGAGAGTTCTCTGCCAGCCAGTGGTGATTTGTTAAAATAAAGGAAACTCCCACTTGAGGGAACACAGGGATTTTAGCCTTTGCAGACCATTTACATGCACACAAACCTATACAACACTAAATAAACTAAAGAATTATGTGTTCTCTGTGGCAGGTGAAGCGACTGTGTGACTGGAGAGTGATCACAGAGAAGCTGGAGCTGCTGGAGAAGCTGACGACTGAAGGAGAAAGCCTCAAACCCCGCATGTTAGTCCGGCTGCTGAGTCAGCAATATGCGATCGAGCACAAAAAGGCAGATTAGTATTGATCACTGAAGCTGATTGTGTATCTGTTTTCATTTAATAAAGGTTCTGTTTCCATCACGCTGATTTTTGTTTTGTATGTTCACTTTAAAATAAAATCCAAATCCACAGGCAATGGTCTGTATTGCGGCAGTAATCTTAAACAAAGTGCCGCGAGGGACTAAACAAGAGAAAAAACACTGTGGACGCGCAAAAACTCAGTCTTTCCAACACAGTATGCGTTTGACCTTTTATTTCCAAAGCAAAAATGCAATATTCCATATCCATATACGTATATCCTTGTATGCATGCGTGCGTGCGGTCAACACAAATTGTCCTTCTCTAGCTCACTCCCCCATCTATTACAAAGTGTGCAGGTAAAAGCAACCGGATATAAGCACAAACGTCACCACACAAATCCAATGACACGCCCACCACCTATAGTGACTCAAAAAACATGTATCGTAACAAACACAGAAATGGCTTCATATGTGGCTCCTACATTCCGGCCCCTAATTATATCAACATAGTAATTATACAACTGAAAAATGATGTAGGAGACAATCAAGGAAAAAACTTTTAAGGATAAAAACGTCCTTTGTTAAAGTGTCCTTTTCTTCTTTAGGCAAAAAAATAGAAAATAAAATAAAATATATAGTTTGTTAGCCTATGAAGGAGTGATCTTTACTATCACTTAGTAAAAATCGGAAAAAATGTCAAGGTCTATGAAGTTCACTAATTTCCTCACGGCTCTTCTGCTTCCTGTAGAAGGCAGACCTTTGTGATAGGCCTGTCCAGATAGCTAGTTTTTGTCTTCACTCGCACCTGACGTACAAGTCCTCTTCTGTCTGGGATGGTTTGTACAATCCTCCCTGTAAGCCATGAATTGCGAGGTGCTGAGTCATCGACTATGAGCACAATATCTCCTGGTATGAAGTTGCGCTTGACATTTGACCACTTCTGTCGTTCCTGGAGTAGAGGCAAGTACTCCTTAATCCATCGTTTCCAAAACAAGTCTGAGATGTACTGAACTTGTTTCCATCTTCGACGAGCATATATGTCCTCTTTATGAAACAGTCCAGGTGGAAAAGATGGCTTGGTTTTTAGCAGCAAAAGATGGTTAGGGGTTAGTGCTTCCAAGTCATTGGGATCTGTGGATGCTCTCGTTATGGGACGGCTGTTGATGATGGATTCAGCTTCACAAAGAACCGTGTGAAGACACTCTTCATCAAGGTTCTGTGCCTTCAGGCTGGAATTCAGAACCTTCCTCACAGATCTGATCAACCTTTCCCATACTCCTCCATGATGGGATCCAGTAGGGGGATTGAAAGTCCACTTTATTCCTTTCTGAAGGAGGGTGTTGTTGATTTTAGCAATATTCAACCTTTCTAACCTCTCTCAATTCACGCTCAGCTCCGACGAAGTTAGTTCCATTATCTGAGCGTAATTCCAATACTTGTCCACGTCTTGCGATGAAGCGTCGAAGAGCATTAACAAAGGAATCTGTATCCAAGGATGAAGCTACTTCGATGTGGATGGCTCTTACTGTTAAGCATGTGAAGAGAACACCATACTTTTTAACTGTACTCCTTCCTCACTTGACCACAAAAGGTCCAAAATAGTCAACTCCAACACGAGTGAATGGAGGTTCATCTGGAGAAACTCTGTCTCGAGGTAAATCTGCCATCTGCTGCATTCCTGGAGCTCCATTTAGTCGCCGACAAACAACACATTTTGACAGGGTTTTCCTTATAGCCACACTAGCACCAGAAATCCAGTATCTTTGTCGCAGGCTAGATAACATGTGGTTACGACCATAGACTGTATATATAAATGGACGTAGTGTCCGTGACGTCACCCATAGGATTCTGCAGAGTTGCCGTGAAGCCCTTAGTAGGCGGAGTCGGCCACTAACGGCTCGACTGTGACGTCAGAGTCTAATCCCGCCTGCTCCAAATAAGGGCGGAGCCGAGGCGGGACCTGCTGCCTCCGAACTGGAAGTAAACAGAATTAGCTCAGGCTAAGAAGCTAAGCTAACATGAAATACATGCATACCAAGTTACTGCTAACAGTGTAGTTCCCCTATATAAACGTTACATTCATAATCAAATGAGACAATCTGCAAGAGAATTAGCTATATTTTGTTATTCTTAATCTTAATGCTTGTCATTCACACGTTGAGAAAAGACAGACTCCACCGCCCGGACCTAACGGAGCCGCAGTGGGCTAGCTCCGGGACGCCGGCTGGAGCTAGCCCCCTGCGGCTCCGTTAGCTCCGGCGGCCACCACTGGGATAATTGGGTCCCCTATTAACATTTGCTCCCGTTTAGCATTATGGGCATCATAGCCATAGACTATAAAAGTCTTACCCAAGGCTGAATCATAAACTAAAATGTATATGTATGCATAAAGGGTTACGTCCTTAGCTGGTTAATAAGTAGCAAGCTAAGCTACCAAGCACACAAACACCTGCGAACGGGGTTAACATGTATAACCGCTGACCAATCACGAAGCGTAATTTCTTGACTGGCAGCATAAACAACCAATC